GGAATATTGGACAACCCCCAAATGAAAGCAAGGAAGCTTAACTTTGGAGCACACACAAAATCTTCGAAGCGTAGATTAGCCAGGTTTCCACTTCCTTAAAACATGTGTGTACGTCAAAGAATGCTTGTCGATTACCAAGTTGCACCATCTGAACTGATTTACTTTAGGAGTTCCGATGGAACCCTTGCAGCGAAAATAGAAGCGAGATTGCACAATGTCTGGAAAGCGACCTTGCAGCGAAAATATTAGCGAGATTGCACAATGTCTGGAAAGCGATGAGATCTTTCTTCGCAGCCAGCGGCAAGACTTTTCGCCAAAGAGGGAAGCGAAGCCGGCCTCTGGGCGCCGGTCTCAGAGCCAGACGCTCCATACCTTTCCGAACCCTGCGAAGGAAAGGATCTTGGTCCCCCGGCCAAAATTATCGCTCTTGTACGTGCCAGTCTCACCATGCAGCTAACCACACTCGTAAAGTGTTGGGGTTATTGATCAAAGCAAAAAAACACGTGGAATCAATTCTAAGGATGCTGGCAACGGCATCTCTCCCAAAAGGCTGCAAGCCCAAGCAATTATCCTGACATGCGAAGCGTAAGAAAAGCAGGATGTCCAGCCAAAGATGCCCATGCTCTGGACAAAGCAATGTCATCCAGGAGCTGGTGGACAGGAGCCCCTGCTTGTGCGAGCTCAGCTAGCAAATTGATTTCCTGCGTGGGGGTAGGCCCTGCTGAACTACGTCCCGAAGGGACCGGCCTACCCACAGCCGCATGGAATTCAGTGTAGCCAGGTGCCTGGTCCAGCTTGCTCCTCTCTGTAGCAAGCTCCGAAGGAGCAGAACCACTTACTTGTAGCCGAAAGAGCAGGGAGCTGAGGAGGGACGCCGCGCGGCTGGTCCCGTCCAACGCCACCACCATGTCTCCATGAGGGGGGAGGACGAAACATCCTTGAACTGAATCTGCTACCTTCGCACAAACTGCTTGGTGAGCTCTGCTGCAATGTTGTCTGCGCATAATGTTCCCTCATTGTTCCCCGAATCACACCAAAGCAGAGAAAACCAATGAACCAAACCCTTTGCTGTCGCTCTAAGCCTGGCCTTGGTGCAGGCGTCTACGCTTATCTGAGCGTTTTAACCGCGGAACGTCCGCGCACAGGAAGCGTTTGGCCTTGTGCTTGCCTTCCAGAGACTGCCACAGTGTCTCCTCAGCAGAGACATCCGGGAGCAGAGCAGTGAGCTGGTCTGCTCTGCTAATGGGGTCTGCCACGTTGTGGCTGCTGGGAACTCCTCCTATCCACGCTGATGCCTTTCCTTGACGCACTCTCTTCCAGAACTTAAGGAGGCGATCACCGTGAGTTGGGCTGAACCAGAGTACCTTGAGCAAAATGCCCTCAGCAGCCTCAAGTACGAAAAGGAAAATGTCAAGCCCTTGCAAGTGGTTTCTCAAGGTTTGGGTCCAAGTTAGTGTTGCGAGTGCCTCAGCTTCACTAATGATGTGCCCCCCCTGGAATCAAGCGGCGGCTGTGTTTGCACACCTTCAAGTGAAAGAAGAAACACCAGCCAGGACCCCAGGCCATCTCGCCAAGCCTGCAGCCGTCTGGGCTCAGGGCTGCATCTACAAACTGCAAAGCCGCTCTACACGTGACAGCTTGACCTGCTCTCACTTCCATGGGGCCTCGGCCTTGCAGGAAAACCAAGAAGCCCAGTAGAGCAGCTTTGAGGACAGGCCACGGTGGAGGCTGGCGAGCCTGCAAGTCTGCAGCTATGAGTTCCTGTAGGGGCCAAGCAAAGGCGCGGCCAGATCGGCCTAAGCACATGGCTGACGCGTGGTCCCACACTGGCCCACCATTTTGCCTGCCAACGTTGAAGACAAGCTGCCCTGATCCAACACCTGCACGATGAGGTTCGCGTACTTGGACGCTTTGGCGCTCGGAAGGTCAATTCTGCAAACAAGGCCTGCTTCACGCTCCTCAGCCGGAATGTCGAATCCAGCCAACCGCCTCCAGCTGCAAGCTGCTTAGCCCCACCTGAAGAAATTCTTTCCGGCCATGCTTTGGAAGGCTTGAGTTCCAGCTTTAAGGCTATGTGCAGTTCCAGAAAAGACGTCCTAGCCGAGTCCACTGCTTCGGCTTCCTCCACGCAACCATGTCATCTACATGCGGGACGTTTGGCATCTGCAGAAGAATTGTGAAGCCACTGACGACACCATGTCTGTACCCTGCAGAACACATGGGAGGCTCCCCGCGGCCCAGAAAGTAGTTTCTGCACACGAGGATCCTGACGCTCGAGTCCGGTGCTCTGGCTGCTGCACAAAGAAAGCGCCGTTCGTGGGCGACAACGAGAACTGTCGAAACCCGTGAGCGTAGTCTTCTGCAAAACCCCTGAGAGGAAGGGAGCGGCCTGCTTTGGAGAAAGACTTTGCCACAAATTTCACGAGTGCGACGTAGCCGTCCAAGCCAGCCATGAAGACAGTGTTCGGGAGGCGCGCGACGTGTGGCCCATTTGCCCCCTCAGGAGCCAGGCAACCTCGCACTTTGTTTGGCTTCTCAACCACGAGAAGAGCCAAGAGGGGAAGTCGCCCAGCTTTTCCTCTGCTTGCGCGACGGACAGCTCCACCCAAAAGCCCTTCTTTGCCTCGCCTTGCAACAGCTGGTAGAGCTCTGACGACTTGTGGTTTGGCAGGCGGAAAATGCCAGAAACTCTCTCTGACGCATGTTCCTGTA